CCATGCGGCGGCGACGCCCAGGCGCGACGGCGACGGCCGGGCGCGACGGCGACGAAGGCGGTGACGAAGAGGATGGCGAGGACGTCGACGCCGACGGCCAGGACCGCGCGAGGACGGCGACGGCGAAGGCGGCGGCCGCGGCGCGGCCAGGACATGTTCGACTTCCTGCGACGCTGCCGCGAGATCGACATGCCCGGCCCCCAAGCTGCCGCTCCGGGGCGCGGGGGGAGAGGGCCTTGCGGGCAGCCGGCGCCAGCCCCGACCGGTCCCGGGTGGAAGGACACGAGGAGCCAGTGTGCCGATGTGTCTTGCCCTCAGGTCCCCAGGCCCCCCTCGCGTGGTGGAAGTCAGCCTGGCGAGTGGCAGTGGGGCGGCAGCGCTGGATCGTGCCCCTCTCCTCGTGGGCTGCGCGCCGCGTGCGGGACGGAGTTCGGGGGGAGCTCGGGCGCGAGCGGCATGGGCGCGGGCCCGCGGGCCCGCGGAGGCCGCGGGTGGTGCTCGCATCTGGGCCCACGACCCGCGCGAGGGGTGCGCCGACATGTGCGCGGGCCCGCGTGCGGAGGGGCCCTCTGCAAGCGCAGGTGGAGCTCCCCTCTGCAGAGGAAGGAGGGGGGAGGGGGAGGGGGAGGGGGGCGGTGGGAGGAGGAAGGCAGGGAGGAGGAGGAGGAGGAGGCGGAGGAGGAGGAGGAGCGAGGAGCGAGGAGGGAGGAGGGAGCCCATGTGGGCCCCCGACCCGCGCGAGGGGGGCGCCGACATGGGCGCGGGCCCGCATGCGGACGGGCTCGTGCTGGCTGGCCGGGCCTGGTGGGTGTCCGCCGGCCCTCGCCGTCTCGCTGTCATGGTCCTGCACCGGATGGGGACAGGGACTCTGGCAGAGTGTAGACCGCTTCATCCGGGGCGCGGTGTAACTACCCAAAATAGCGAAGCGCGCGGGCATGAGCTGCCCGCCACCCTTCGGCAGCATTGCCCAGCCCAAGGACCATTTTCGAACAGAGACTTGAGACATATACTGGCTTCCGTTGGTGTTCTTCATCGTCGTCGTCCTCCTCCTCCTCCTCCTCATCCTCCTCCACACACGTCGTTCTTGTCTTCGTCGTCTTCGCGTTCTTTTCTTCGTCATCCTCGTCCTCGTCCTCGTCGCCCTCGTCGTCGTCGACGTCGTCGTCGTCGTCGTCGTCGTCGTCGTGCCACTCGGCCGCGCAGCGCCGCGCGGGTGGCGCCAGGGTGCCACCGAGGTGCTGCTCGGGCTTCTTCACTTCCTCGGACCTGAAGCACGTCCTCACCGCGCTCGGCCACGCCCCCGTCGCCGAGGCGCCCGCGCGGGCTGGGGGAGCAGTCTCGAGCTGCTCCCTATCTCGAAGGCTAACCAGCCAGAAGGGAATGACAGGCTTCGACGATTCTCGGGATGCATTCTCAGAAGCTGGGGGGGATGCTTCAGATCGGCATCGAGGTCATGTCATGTTTATCCTCGGGGTCGTTAGTCGGGCCGCTGCGGGCCCCGTCGTGCTTCAGCCGTGGTCGGCGGCAAAGTTAGAGGCTCAGAGGCTCGAGGTTTTGGGACGCTTTCGTCGGTTTTCGGCGGTTCCCTCGCCTCGGGCTGCTCTCCAGCGGCTGCGCCTCGCCGAAGGCGTTCCGGGGTTGTTAAGGTCGGGCTGCTCAACGGGAGGGGCCCCGGGCCTGGATCTGAGCGGAAGCGGGCCATGTCGGCCCAGACGCAGGCGTCAGGTTGCCGGGAGGAGAAACTCAAACCGTTTTTGGGAGACGAGTTTATGGGGGTGTGAGATAGTGTCGGAGAGGAAAAAAGGGGCTCCAGATTTCGTAATAAAGGGAGGGGGGTCTCATTTCGGGGGGGGTCTCTTCCAGGCTATCTTGCAGGGCCTGGGGGGGTCTGGGGACGATGTTTTGGAGGGTTCTCCCACGAGGGGGGGTCTGAAATGGCTTGTCTTGGAGGGTCCAGACCCCCTCCCTTTTGTTACGAAATCTGGAGTGCCCTTTTCGGGCCCCAGAGGCCCCCTTCTGGGCCCTTAGGGGCCCCTTCCGGGGCTCCAGGGGGGGCCCCTTCCCTGCGGCCCTCGCTGCCCCCCTTCCGCAGCGCCCCCCATGACTTCGCGCCTAAGTTTTGTCCTGAGTCTTGGCATCGCTCGGACGTGTGCATTTTTCCTTCGGCGAGGACCATCGAGGAGCATCCTTGATCATCTGGTAGAACCACGCACGAAACCGAACAAATCACAGGGAATGGACGTCCGAGCGATGGCGAGCCTACGTTTTGTCCTGATTCGTGCGTTGGCGAGGAGCGAATTTGTCTTTCTTCGATTCTCGAGGGGGTGCTGCGGCCGCAGTGGCCGCTGTCCCGCGCTCGCCTCGTCTTCTTCAGGGTCGTTTTCATGGAGGGATGTCGTGCTGAAGGGGTCCGGGTCCACGCCGATGAAGATTTGGTTTTGCTAGATGTGCCCCTGGCCCAAGGTGCACCCTGGATTTCCAAGGAGGCCCCCACAGCCTCCAGAGCACCCCTCCAGGTCCAGGGGAGGGGGTAATGCGGAGGGGTCAAGACACCCCCTGGATAGCAAGCCGTCTAGCTCACTCCCACCCGCCCTCCCAACACATACGTAGCACCCGAGCCTGAGCATGTTCAGCGGTCGTCTTTGGATGGGCAGCTACTGGGAACCAAAACCGACCCCATGTGCGCGACGCTGGGGCGAGGTGCGCCACGCGTGCCAGGCGCGCTACGCGCGCCAGGCACCCCTGGGTCCCCACCGTGCCATGCGCCACATGCTTCGCGTGCGCCAGGTGTGCCGCATACTACGCCAGCCGCGCCAGGTGCGCCACGTTCGGGGCACGTGCAGAGCGTGTCCGGTGCGCCCGCGTACGTGACAGCACACATCGGGAAACATGTCGGCCCCCAACATCCTTGTCGAAAGCCCATGCCCATCCTTGTGTCTGGTGGGCCTGCGCACAGCAGGCCATACGCCACTACCCCCGCCGTCCCTGTCAAAAACCACTTGACCGTGATCGCGGGGTGGCAACGCATGATCCAGATTTAGCCGCGAGGTGCATTTTGCATGGCTTTTTGTTTCAGGGATGGTAGCATTACGCACAGCAGGCAATATGCTGACACCCCCGACTTCCTTGTCAAAACCATACAAAGTGCTCGCGGTTTGTGACAGGGATGGTGGGATGGGGGGGTCGCATCGGTATGGCCGCGCATGCTCCAAATGTGGAGGCAGAGCGGGGTTTGCATGGTTTTTGACAGGCATGGTGTGAGGGGTGAGCATGGGGTCGCCAGGGGGAGGGTGTGTGTATTCATATGGAAGGGTGATAAACCCCTCCCCGAAGGGGAAGAGGGAGGGGTGGAAGAGGAAGCGCGCTGGACCACCTACGCCCAGGGAACTGGTGGGATTATTCCATACAGTTTGACTCGTCGTTCTGGCACCCAGGGCTTCCAAGACGGCCCAGCAGATCTCAAGAGACTCAACGACGCGCCTTCGGGGCACTATTGTGGCACGCTGGATGTGTTCCCCGCCGCTCTTGGGGGGTGCCTTGAGAGGTGGTTCGAGGAACCTTGAAAGAGCTGGGTTGGTGGGCGCCCAGGATCGCTTGGACACATGGGTTCTGGGGTTCTCCGTGGAAGATCGAACGGTCTACGGCACGTTGGCGGATGCCCACTCGTCTGTCCCAGGGATGTTACTCTCAATGTATGATTCGCATTGGGTTCCGACGATGTGTCTTTCTCGACCGTTCCGGCCACGATGCGTCAATTCAACGTCCATCCCGTTCCAATTTTGGGTTACGGATCTTCCGCGATCGTCTTTACATGGGGATCCGGCGGCTAGCCTAATCTGAGCTCGTACCTCTTGTAGAAAAGGTGCGAGTGCCGATTGGCTGCTCTCGCCATGGGTCCTAGGTTAACGCCCGCACTTTGTGAACGCAGTTGGCCACGCCAGCGTATGAGGACGGTTGTTGAATCAGTGCCGCCGTGATTGACCAGGTCATGTCTTCATACGCCTCCCACTATGCAGAGGCAGGGCGGCATGGAAAACATACGCCATGCCGCCACGTGGCAGTATTTCTTTGCGTTGTGGTCGGATTGTTGTATCCTTCGATGTGTCGCCATGTGAAGTGAGCAACGCCAGCGAAGGCTCTGGCGTGGCCGTACCAAGAAAAGGATATATTGAAGCGATTGTTGCCAGACGTTCCACCTGCAACACAGTGCGATTGCGGCGTCGACTGTATTGGCTGAGTTCGGGCGCGCACCCCACTTCTGCACACTTGCGTGCAGAGGCCATCACGGCGCTGTTCCTGCGGGCGTTCAGGCACCCAGGCGAGTCATACATCGACTACGTCGCGCTTCTGGACTCGGCGCTGTTGCGGCAGCAGTGGCTGTTCGAGGATCGGCGCGGCGGTTGCGCTGGAGGGGAGGAGTTTCGAACAGCAGGAGCGACCCAAACGCATTTTTCCGCTTCTAAGTCGACGAGGGAAGAGCCGTCCCCCTCCGACTCAGAAACGAAGGCAGGCAGCACGCGCAACATATTCGCGCTCCCGTCGAGAACGGAAGCTCGCGTGAGTGGTGTTGGTGGTGTTGTTGTTGTTGTTGTTGGTGGTGGTGGTGGTGGTGGTGGTGGTTGTACTGCGGCATGCCACTTGTACGTTTCATGAGTGGACCTTGCAGGAGGCTTCTGGCCCCCCCCGGGCCCCACCCCCCACCCCTTGAGTCTCTCGCAGGGCAGGGGGGCTCCCGCATCCGCTCCTGGCGAGGTCGTTCACGGACCGAGCGGGCATAGCACCTCTTCGTCCTGGCATCGCTCGGACGTGTGCATTTTTTCTCGGCGAGGACCATCCGGGACCATCTTGGACCATCCAGCCAAAAAAGCACGCACGAAACCGAAACATGCACGGGAAATGGACGTCCGAGCGATGGCGAGTCGTCCCCACCCGGCCGCATGGACGCTCTGTGTCCCTCTCTCCCCGACCCCCCGCGCCGTGGGGCTGCAGTCGCGGTGGGCCGGGCGACAGTTGGGCGGCGCGGGAGCGGTGGTCGCATCCCCTCCCCTCTTCTCCACTTTACCTCCACGTCCGCCTGGGTCCAGGGCGATTCGACGGATCCGATTCGATATCACTTCCGGGCGGCACGGTCCGATGCGATTCTGGTGTTGTGGCGATCGGGTGTTGCCTGCCCAATGCTCGCGTGGCGTTGCTGTGCACCCTGGCGCGGTTTTTCCGATACGGACTCAACCTCGTGCCGATGCGGCCCGATCCCACGCGCGTTCCGAGTCGATCCGATTTCACGATCCAGTGTTGCTTGGTCCTGCCCTGTCTCGTCGCCCCATTCCCTCCCCCTCTTAACTCTATCTCGTCACCGGCCCATGACGTCTGGTGCACTGAGGGGCACGAGAGAGGGAGGGGGGTGCACGTGGAAGGAGGACGACTCGGGTCGGGGGGCGGAGGAGAGGCGAAGAAGGGGGGGAGGAGGAGTAGGATGATGTACGAGGAAGATGAGGAGGAGGAGGACGACGACGAGGGAGTCTGGCGCCAGGAGTCGGCACGGCCACGGGGGAGGAGGAGGAGGAGGAGGGAGGACGAGGAGAAGGGGAAGAAGGAGAAGAAGGAAAAGGATGAGAAGAAGGAAGAGGAAGAGGAGGGATGTGGAGACGGAGGTGGTGGAGGTTGGCGGAGGAGGGGTGGAGGTGCCATGAGTCTTGAGCCAAGGGGCAGGGGTCAGCGGGAACATGAAGAGGAGAGGAGGAGGAGGAGCAGGAGGAGCAGGAGGAGCAGGAGGAGGAGGATGATGATGATGAGGAGGAGGAGAGGGTAGAGAACGACTGGGAGGGGAAGAGGATGCCGGCGCAGCGCGGCCAGTCGTCTCCTGATAGGGTCCGTGCGGCCCTGCTGGGCGGGACAGGTGTGTTTTCGGCCCGCGGCACGTCACACGTCCTTGCAAGTTCTGGCACGAGCCTGCAGGAACGGCGGCAGCTCGGAGCCGAGATGATGCATTGCCCAAAAGGTTGCTCCCAAAGAACCGCAGTGGTTTCCCAAACTCGGCGATCGTTCGGAAGCATCTCATTGGGGCCTCGCGTGTCTCCACAGCTCCATCTTGAAAGTGCACTGGCGTGCGCTAGCGTCTGGTAATCCTTGAGAAGCGTCAGTTTATCGGCGGTTGAAATCTAGCGCCGATTGGCGTCGATTCGCAAGAGCCCACAAGATGGTATGGGAGCCCCCCATGAGCTCCCACCAGCAAGGCTCAGAGAAATCCGAAGGAAGAGGCATATATTTCCACTTAGGCGGATCAGTCTGCCAGCGGGGCCAAGGCCTTGCCAGTGGGGATAGGGATCGGCAAAGTGATGCTACGACAATGGCAACACGGATTGGCGGCGGCAGCGGCGGCGGACCCTCCTGACGGTGCCGAGGAGGAGCTGTGGTGCCATTTTCAGCGCGTCTGCCAGAGTTGCGGCCAGGACTGCGCGTCGAGGGGGGCGGGGTGCAGAGAGCGAGGGGCGGAGGGGGAGGACGAGGCGCAGGAGGAGCAGAAGGAGCAGATTGCAGTAGCGCGCTCAGGGAGAATAAGACGCAGATGGGGAGGACCATTCTGATGCTGATAATGGTGCTGATGTTGGTAATGGCCCATGGTTGCGATGGTGATAATGATGACGAGGAGGAGACAAGGAGGAGGAGGCGGAGGCAATGATGATCATGCTGATGATGCTGATGTTGCTGATGATGCTGATGATGGTGATGGTGGTGATGATGATGATGGTGATGCTGATGATAATGGTGATGGTAATGATGATGTTGGTGGTGGTGATGATGATTATGATGATGATGCTGATGATGATGGATATAGTGATGGTGGTGATGGTGATGACTACGATGTTGAAGCTGATGATGGTGGTAATGATGTTGATGATGATGAGGATAGTGATAAGGGGGAGGTAGAGGATGAGTTGGCAGAGGTGGAAGAGGACTATGCTGAGTATGATGCTGTTGATGATGACGATGTCGCTGATGCTGATAATGCTGATGATGGTTATGCCGATGATGATGATGCTGATGATTGCTGCTACTGATGATGCTGATGATGAGGATGTCGATGGTGATGAGGATGATGATGACGATGATGCTTATGATGATTATGTTGATGATGCTGATGATGATGCTGTTGATGATGACGACGACGACGATAATGATGATGATACTGATTGTGATGATGCTGACGCCGCTGATGATGATGAGGACGATGATGATGATGATGATGATGATGATGATGATGATGCTGATGATGATGATGATGATGATGATGATGATGATGATGATGATCACGATGATGCTGCTCACGATGATGGTGATGACGATGATGATGCTGATGCTGATGCTGATGCTGATGATGATGATGGTGATGATGATGATGATGATGCTGCTGATGCTGATGCTGATGCTGATGCTGATGCTGATGCTGATGCTGATAGTGATGATGATGCTGGCAATGACGACGACGATTATGATGATGATTCTGATGATGCTGCTGATGATGATTGTGATAATGATGCGGAGGACGAGAAGTAAGAGGAGGAGGAGGAGGAGGAGAAGGAGGAGGAGGAGAAGGAGGAGGAGGAGCAAGAGGAGGAGGAGGAGGAGGAGGAGGAGGAGGAGGAGGAGGAGTCTGGAGCCGGAGGCGTCAGGGGCAGGAGCAGGGAGTGGGCGCAGGAGCCAGACGGAGGCACACGCGGAGGAGGGCCGCGTGGGAGGAGCGCAGCCAAAACATGCCCGTGGGCGTCCAGTCCGGCGCCGAGGCGGAGCCGCATCCCTGCGGGCGACCCATGAGCCGTTTTAGCAGCCACGGTTTCAGCAGCCCTCGCCCAGCTTTCGAGACATGGTTTTTTGTTGAGTGTTCGCCAGCCTGCCGGCGAACGCCCACGGGCACCAAGCTGTGGCGATGATGCCTCAAAGAAGAGACAGGACGGGGAGGTGTTTTTTTGCCGGCCGCGGCCACGGAACCGCTTATAGTCGTCTAGGCGTAGGAGTGACCCTTCGCCTGAGTGATCTGTGGCGCGGGCCCATTGGGGCCCCCCGATTGCCGATCGCGAGGCGGCAGTGGCGTCCTCCGCGCTTGTGTTTGGCCCCCCCCGTGGCCCCCAAGAAGCCGCGCACCAAAAGCCACTCTTACCCAGGGTCACTCCTGCGTGTGGCCGAAACAGGCGGCCCATGCCGTCCAAGTCAGCAGTCGCCCCCGATCTCTTGGGATGGAGGCCTCTGCAGTGCTCGGGCGCTGTGTCTGGCCTGCCCCCGCCCACACCTCCCCGCTCTGCGCTGTAGCAGTGTCCTCCGAGAGGTCCCGGCCCCTCCCCCGGAGGGGCCGCGCGGAAAGCCCCACCAATCTGGCTCTCCATTTGCCCCCCTCCTTGAGATGGATCCAAGATGGCCTCCGGAATGGCCAAGATGACCTCCGAGACCGCTGCCATGGCCCTAAGAGAGGGCCCAAACTTGCCCCAAGATGTCTCCAAGATGTGCCGACATGCCGTTACAATGGTAGTTGTTCGTTCCTGATCCGTTGTTGACGCTCTTGAGAGGCCCGACAGCGGGCGCCACCGGGCCGAAGGTCAGGGAAAGCCCGCCCATGGAAACAATCCAGGCCTCCCTGTATGGGGTCGGAGTAGATGAGGTCGGAGGATCGCACCGCATCGCGGATGCATCGGCGATGCGGCTCGATGTGGGGCCCAATATTCGCCACGCCGACGTCGCCGATGCATCGCCGACGTCGTCAGTGCATGGTCGATGCGTCGCCGATGCATTCGCGATGCGTCGCCGATGTGCCGGCGATGCTGCGAGATCCTCCGACCCCATCTGCTCGGACCCCATCTGGGATGGCTCTGCACAAACACATCGCCAGAGATCTGGATGTGCGAGTCCGGCAGCAGCCGCGCTGCCTCGGCAGCACCGCCGCCGCGCTCAGCTACAGGCAGCCCGCCGGCTCTGCCATGCCATCGCAGCCGCGCTCTTGCTGCGGCGGCGCTCGCCGCCGCCTCGCCGCTTCGGCTCGGCCGTGGCGGCCCGAGGACGAGGCCGGCTCTGGCTTCCTGCCGCTGGAGGACCTCGACTCGTTCCTGCGCGACCCAGTGGTCGTGGGCACGCTCCCCAGACGTCGCTCAGAGGAGGGCGAGTTGGGGACAGCGGCCGTTGGCCCTCGGGGCGTGCCCCTTGCCGCCGCGGCTGGGCGCAGCTCAGAAACTTGCTGCCTCTGGAACCCTGGAGGGGCCCGGTGACCGAGTTCGAGGTGCCGTTGTCGCAACTCGCTGTTCCGGGACTTGGCGGCGCGCGCACTGGGGTTGCCAGCGAGGGGGGGGGCCTTGTCGGGGGAGGCCTTCAAGGCGCCCCCCCCCGGGGCTTCTGACGCCAAGTACCCTTCTTGGGAGCCTCCAGGCCCCTTTCAGAAGGCCCCTGCCGTCTAAGAAATCCCCCGCCTTGTTAGAGGAAGGCCCCCTCACTCTCCCCCCCTGCGGGTGGCGCCACCAGACCCCTTGACCAGAGGGCCTGGACCTCCAACGTCCTGAACACATCGAGACGGATGGTTATCGCATTGTTCGGCGCAGAAGGCCTCGTAGGTCTGGGGGCGCAGCGGGCTGGAGGCTAAGGGCGGGACTCGACCCCTTGTGGTGTAGACAAGCTTGAGGAGGACAAGGCACACTGACATTTGTTTTTCCAATCGCGCAGCTTCCCGGAACTTCTAGAAGCTTCGCGTCGTGCCGACGCGGTTGCGACCCCCCCCCGTGGGAGTTCAAGTTTGAGCGCGCCAGCGGCCTGGAATCGGCCATTGGAACGATCAAGCGGTCGAAGAGCCGCCGATCGTTCAAGGTTGAACGATCCACGCGGTGCCAGAAACCAGCGCCAGGGTTGTCACGACACGAACCCGCCGTGCGCGTCTCGCCGCCCACCAAACCTCCCCAACCCAACCCGAAGGCCCCAATTTGCCCTCCATTCCCAGTGTGGGGCGGGCGTCGGGGAACATGGAAAAAGCACGGATCGAACCCGTACCACGCCCCAAACCCCAAATTCGGATCTTTGGGGGTTCAGGATGCCCTTCAGTCTGTCCACGGCGCCACCTCGCGCGCAGCGGAGGCGGAGTCGGGAGAGGCCTGTCGCTCTCCCGCGGATTCGGTGGGCTTTGCTTCCAAAGCTGGAGCCCTCGACGCCACCTCAGGATATGGCATCCAACATACTGTTTTCTCTTATCCTCTGTAACGTTACGGTCGTTGCCCAGGCCATTCCCCCCCCCCCTTCGGGTAAGCGTAGCGATCGTGCGTGTGGGGTGGGAGCTCGGACCCCCGACTCAATGTTGCTGCTCGCGCGCATGCGCAGCGCACCCCGCCCCGACGTCCCCCACCCGGCCTAGGCGTTACCGTTACCCGCCCACCCACCCCTCCCCCTTTTTTTACAACCGTTACCCGAAATAGTAAATCACACGATCTCCACAGGATCATGATGCATGGCTCCGCCTCTAGAATCCACCATGCACCTCCTTCTTTGCTCTCCGGACGTCCACACGATCGAGGTTCGCCCCTTCGCTACACTCGCCGCTCGTGGGGAGAGGCACCCCCGACCGACAGGATCCACCACGCGCCCCCTCGCTGGAGAAGCACTCGCCGTGAAGCACAAGAGGTCCTGCGAGCAAGATGTCCAGAGATGTGGAACTTCAGAACAACTAGTGCGGACTAGTGGTTTCCAATTGAATTGGCCCCGCTGAGGCTCGCACCCGGTTTTTACCAGGGAACGTCCTGAGCCTCAAATTGGGCTGTTGGCCCCAGGGTTTCAACTCGGCGGCGAGCGAGGGGGAAAGTTAGAAGGAGAAGGCCTTCTCAGAAGGCTCGGAAGTCCCCCGGCCTTTGAGAATTGTTATAAGCCTTCCCCGAAGACACAGAAAATTTCCCAGAAGGCGCGAGGGCTGCTGAGAAATCCCGCCGCCTTCTGAGACGGCCTTCTTTCTCTCATTTCCCCCCCCTTCGCTCGCCGCCGATCAACAACAACGGCTCCCGCGGGATACTTTCTCCCAGTTCATGAAGGAGCCGCGCTGTCGCGTGAGACCGCCTTGCACTCTGCCCATGAGTGGCCCTCTCGCTCGGGGGCCTCTCCTTGTAACGTATTCGGGCGCCGCGCTCTTGACGCCCAGGAATCGCGCTCCCGCACGGGACCCCCTCACAATCTACTCAGCATGTGTCTTCTCGCCTGAGACCTCCTCGCAGTTGGCGAAGTTCACTCCAGTGCCCCGCCCGATCCGCCTGTTAGGGCCCGCCCGCCTGTTAGGGCCCGCCCGCCTGGCACGCCCGTTAGGGTCAGCATGCCAAGCTTGCTGCACCTCCCTCTTCCCCACCCTGCTGGGTCTTCTTCCTCCTCAATGCCCCTCCCTGCATATCGTCTTCCCTTTTCGTTTCCTTCTCCCTTTGTCGCTCTCTGTCCCTGTCTACTCTCTCCCTCCCCTTCCAATGTTAGAGGCTGCGTCAACTACACGTGGCAAGCAAGACGGCCGAAGACGAAGAGGGCGGGGCGGCTATCGAGGCTTTTGGACGTAGAAAATTGAACCGCACGCGAGAATCGAAGCGCGAACAGTCTGAGCATGATGGTTGTTATTGGTGTCTCCTGCCGCACTGGGGAAGGATATCCTGAGGCTTTTCGCCACTTTGGGACTCGCAGAGCCTGTGCCAGAGCAAGGGGCCGTCTGAGAACGACTCGGGATGAAGAGCGGACCCTTGGGAAAGCTTTGAGGTGTGGGAATCGTTCCCCCCCCCCCCTCGGATCCCTCTTCCTCACGGCAGCAAAGACATGTAAAGCACATGCTTTGCAGTCGCCCATGCGATCGATGGGTCGAGAGTCTGATCTCTTCTTCAATGCCGATTTCGATCGATCACTTGGGGAGCCATGGGCTAATCATGGAGCCGATCGTTGCTGTGACCCACCAAGGCCTCCTGATGCAAGAGGTGCCGCAGGATCGCCTTCGAAGCCCGCTTTGCCGCAAAGCCCCAGGACATTACGATCACCCTCTCACCCCTGCGCCCCCCCACCCCTCCCGCTTTGGTCCCGCTATCTTTCCCCGCCCCTTCCCTCCACCCCCCTGTCAGAGTGGCATTCCGTCAATTCGTTGTGCAGCAGTCCAGCAGGTGATGCAAAGCAAGAAAAGATCAGGTTTGCAGTTGTTCTGGGTTGCTTAAGCAGGAGATGGCGCCCACATCCGGCACACACGCATTTACGCATAGCAGCTTCTTTTCTATTTCTTTGGGTGCCTGAGTCTCAGTGCGCCACGGCGCTGCAGTAGTCTGCGCCCACTGTTCCACAGTGCCACGCCGTTGAGCATCCTTCCGCGGCTGGGCCGGCAGGGAGGTGGCAGCTCTCCCGTGCAGCATCGCAGACAAGTTGGCAGTAACAAACAATCGCTAACAGAGCGCTGGCGTGGACCAGGGGAAGGTATGTCAGAGGCTGCTTCACGCACGCGATGCAAGCCTTCTCTCTGCCTGTCAACACAATGTTTGGATCTGCCTGCGACTTGTTGCGCGCATGTCCGTTTCGCTCTCTTCCTTGTCGCCAGCACGAGCTTCGAGTGCTCCGCTTCCGCCCTCTCGATCCCCAGTGGCGCCGGGGCAGGGCGTGGGCGGAACGCCGAGGTTCTGCGTCGCCACGCTGCTGCTGCTGCTGCAAGCTTGGCCGCAGCGGCTCGGGGTGCCGGGCAGGCCTGTAGTTTCGCGTTCCCTCGGCGATGGTTCAAATCCTCAGGAATCCTCAGAGAGTCCTTCTGGAATCTTGCAATACTCCGATGGGAATCCTATGGGGGTCTTGTCGGGATCCTATTCTGCTCTTGGTGGGATCCCGCAGTGAGGGTTCTGAGGGTTCTGGCTCGCCGAAAGGCGGGGTCGATCACTGCAGTCCAAGTTTAAGTCGTAGATGTTTGTTTTGGCACTTGAGCGCTTGCTGTGGTGGAAGTGACAAGAGGGCGCCAATTACACGGCGACGCCGAGGCTGGCCAGTCTTTCTCTTGGTTTGGGTCGGGTATACACCTACCGTCAACGCGCCTAGTAAGGACGCGCGCCTGCATCTGGGGTACCCAGGTGTCCTTGCCTCTGCGGCCCGTCCTTTGCCGTTTTCACTGGTCACCCGCCGCCAAAAAAACAACTTCGGCCTCGAAGGGTCTTGCGTTCGGTCGACAACATCTATACACATCCACGGCTCCCTGGCCAGGCCCATATTGAGCCCAGGAGCTGTGTATACGCCCTCCTGGCCAACCCAGGAGGGCGTGGCGTATACACCGCTGCTGGGTTCAGTATGGGCCTGGCCAGTGAGCAGTGGATGTGTGTGTAGATTTCTTCGCCCTATGCGTCCTTACCACACGTCCTCCGTACACGTTTTGACTGCTTCTCTAGGCCCAGTGCTGGGGGGACGTCGACTGACCACCTCGCCGATCCTGGTCATGGCCATCCCGGGCCAAGGACCTGCCCGGCCAGGGTCGGCGAGGTGGAGAGCTGACGTCCCTTGAAATGCGTCGGGGGCGACCAAGAAGGGCGTGATGACTGGGTGGTGGCGGATGTCTTGGGTGTCCGATTGTAGACCCTTGTTGAACGCAACCCTCCAGCTTTCGCGCCGAACACTGCTGGAAACCGCCGAAGACCGTGGGAAGCCGCCGAAAATCGTCAGATGAACACCGACGGCCGCCGAAGACCCGGGCGTGTGCTCATCTCTGAACAGTTTGTCTGCTAGGGTCCTACATATTCTCCTGGCATCGCTCGGACGTGTGTATTTTTCTTCCGGGGAGGACCATCGAGGAGCATCCTTGATCATGTGGCGAAAAAACCACGCACAAAACCGAGAAAAAACACAGGGAATGGACGTCCGAGCGATGGCCAGTTCTCTCCAAGGCACGTGTGAGCCCCTCAGGATCTAGAGTCGGCGGCGTTTCGCCCGTGGGTTCGCACCTTCGACATCGGACAGGCTGCGCTGTCGGGAAGCCGCAATCGCTCAGTGTGGAAGAATCCACGCGGTGTCGGAAACCCATGCGCAAGTCGTCACGACCCGAACTTGCCGTACCTGCTTTTGCTCGAAGCGTCGGGGCATTTGGAGATCGCGCGCGGGCCATCTGAATTATCGGGCTGTCTCGTGCGTGCGTGCGGAGGCGCCCTCGGGCGGAGCTGCGCGCGCTTGGTCTCGGCTTGCCAGCCTTCGGAGGCTGCAGAGCAGCGTCCGCGAGCACTGCCAGCGGCAGGGCGTGGACCAGCTCGACTTCCGCAGCCTCCTCGCGATCCTGCTGAGGCTTGTCTGCTCCTACACGTCAGAGAGCCATCGGGACGCCGCCCCCCACCCAGGGGGAAGAACGTGGGAAACAGGCGCGGGTAAGGAGGGCGTGCAGCGTGGTATTTCCCGGCGCTGGTGGAGGAGATGGTCGAGGGAGGAATGAGGGGAGGGAGTGTGAAGGTCAGGGGCGAAGATGGACGGGAAAGTCGAGGGATGGAAAAAACGGTGATGTGGTGATGGGGGAGCGGGTGGGGAATGAAGGGGGGCGTGAGGAGTTGTTCTGCAAGCGATTCGAAGTGTCTTCGATGTCGCATGCAGCGTAGACGGCACATCTGCGGCTGTCTCTGTTTATTCAACGACGAGGACTACTTGTTGCACCTGTCCTTCGGGACACGATTTCTCCGCCCTGCCCTCCTGTGACAATTCAGTAGAGCTAAAACGGAATAAACTACAGCTAGCTTGTCGGTAGGTATCTTATTATTTCACGGGCTCACAAGGGCTTCCAAAGGCTTGGAGCCCCAGAGTTTGACAGCCCTCAAAGACACTGCCGTGCCATCGGGCAGGGTGTGCAGTTGCGGCTGAGTCGTCTCGGGTCCTTCTCCGTCTCGCCCTCTTCCTCCTCGCTGGTGACGCTTTGTCTGGGCCGCAGACGGTGGTGTGAAGACCCCCCTCTCGTGGTAGCGCAGACGGCAGAGCCATGAGCAGCATCGTTTTTTAGGGCTGTCACGTTTACGCTGTTATGCCTTGAGCTTTTGAGCACGACGCCAATTATATTGCGTTTGCTAACGGCTGCGAGGGTCGTGATCAGGTTCCCAAAGCATCGGTGCCTGTACCAACTATCCGCGCTTCCAGGTCGCACTTCGACTACGAGGCAGCAACAGCGCATCTCGCCATCAAGTTTCTGCACAAGCCAGTGTTTCGAGGTCTGCCTCGCCGATTGCAGGTTGGTCCTCGCGTGACTCCGAGGTTTTGCATGGTACATCTTGTCAGCACATCGTTAGTCGAAGTGCGTCGCGGTGAAAACACACCTAATCGAAGACGCCTACGGCGAGTCACCGCCTCCCCCTGCCCTTTTCGGAAATGCCTATGTGGCCGAACGTTGAGGCCAGAGCCCTGCCAAGCTATCGGACCATGTGCTCCCCGAATCGGTTTGGAAAGCCTTCGGGGAACACGTGGGGGAGGACGGGGACGAGGAGGAGAGTGAGGAATGGGCGTGTTCGGGGCCCCTTGGGGGCTCTTGTGAGCTTTCGGAGGCATCTTGGGGCCTGCTGGCCGTCTTAGGCCATCTCGAGGCCATCTTGGGCAGTCTTGGGTGCATCTTGGGGCCATCTTCGCCGTCTTGGAGGCCATCTTGGCCGTCTTGGAGGCATGTTGAAGGTCATATTGGCCGTCTGGAGGCCATTCTGACCCTTTCGGGCTTTCCTGGAGGACGTCTTGGAGGTCTCTTGTGCCGTCTTGGAAGCATCTTGTGGGCCTTTTAGGCAGTCGAAGTTCATTTTGAGGCCATTTGAGGCCGTTTTGGGTGCATTGTGGGGCCATCTTCGCTGTCTTGGAAGTCGTCTTGGAGGCATCTTGGGGGCCATCTTGGTTGTTGGAGGCCATCCTCGGCGTCTTCGGGGCCATCTTGGGCCGTCGTGGGCTCTTCTTGGGGCCCTCTTGGGGGCCTCTTGGGCTGTGATGGGGCCATCTTGGAGGCCTCTTCGGCGCTCTGGGGACGATGTTGGGGGTCTCTTAGGCCGCCTTGGGCCGTCGGAGAGCTGATAAGAAGAATATGCCACAACACATATTCTGCCCTTTCGGGCCTTCCTGGAGGATGTCTTGGAGGCCTCGTGGGGGCCTCTTGGCCAGTCTTAGGCCATCTTGGAGCCCTCTTGGGCCGTCTTGGAGGCTTCTTGGACGAACTTAAGGCATCTTGGACTCTCTCTGGCCGTCTTGGAAGCCATCTTGGACCATCTGTGGCGACCTGGAGGCCATCTTGGAGGCCATCTCGGGCCAACGTGACCATCTTAGAAGCCATCTTGAGCCGTCTTGGAGAATTTGTGGTGGACTTTGAGGTCGTTTACGCGGCCTTGCGCGGCCTTTGGGTGGCCGGCGGCACGGGCCGAAGCCCCAGGGGGAGTTCTAAAAGAACCAAAAGCGAAAGGACCCAGCACGCGGGGCACCCGTGTGGCAAGCCAACAGGGGGCGGCGGACCCAGTGGCCTTCGGCCCGTTCCGCCACCGCGCCTAGGTTGTAGGTCGAAGGCCTCTCGGATACCTGTGGGGATCTCTCGGAGGCCTGGAGCCTCGTGGAGGCGTTCTCGGGGGTCTGTTCTCGAGCAGTGGCGAAGCGTCCCGACGTGCCTATAGCCCTACCAAACAATGTTCTGAGAACCTGTTGTGGTTTCCACGAAATGTTCTTAGAACATCTCTGGCTGGGATTGTCTTGTTTTAACACATCGGGGTTATGTTCTAAGAACATTGTTTTGGTTCTTAGAACTTGTTTTGGCTCTAAGAACATTTCGTGGTAGGACTTAGGAATGCCGGGACGGTCGGTCCCGGCTCAATGTTCGGGGCCGATTGGGGCCCTTGGAAGTGCTCTTGGAGCCTTCTTAGGGGGTATTGGGGGCCTTCAGGGCTGTCTGGAGGCCATCCTGGGCACCTTTGAGCGATCCTTCGGTGACTGTGGGCCGTGTTGTGGGCTTCTTGAACGAAGGATTGCAAAACAAATCCTTCAATTGTGGTTTTTTTTTGCAATCCTTCATTGTGTTTTTTTTTGCAATCCTTCGGTTTTTGTTTTGCAATCCTTGGGTTTTTTTGCAAGCCTTCTTGCTCCGTTTCGGGGGCCCCCTATTGGCTCCAAAAGAAAAAACACGCGGGAGCACGCCCCGGCACGCGGGCAGCCCTGGAAAGTTTAGGAATTTTGGGCCCCGGCCCCCTTAACAGAGGATTGCAAAAAAACGAAGGATTGCAGGATTGCGCAAAAAAAACAATCCTCGTTTTTTTTAGCAATCCTTCGTTTTTGGGGCAATCCTTCGGGTTTTTTGCAATCCTTTTTTTGCAATCCTTCATTCACCCTAGACCTGAGGACACCCCAAGTCGTGCGTCAGGGCACGTTGGCGGATAAACACGCACTCGCACGCACGCACGCACGCACGCACGCACGCACGCACACACATAATTTCAGTGAACACATCAAAATCATACGCAGCATCATCGTAGGCATCATCATCATCATCATCATCATCATCATCATCATCACCATCATCATTGTCGCCGACATCATCATCATCAGCAGCACCAGCAGCATCAGCGTCATCATCATCATCATCATCATCATCATCATCATCATCATCATCATCATCATCATCATCATCGTCATCATCCTCATCATCATCATCCTCATCATCAGTCACGTGTTCAGTGGTGCTCTCACCTGCGGGGCGAGGACGTGGTGTGGCTCGGCGAGGTGGAGGCGCTGGCGACGGAGGTTATGAATAGCGTGCTCTGACGGCCGCCCGAACAAGCCTTCCCACGCTCCGCGCCACCAGCAAAAACGTGATGGGCCTTCCACCACCACCACAATAAGTTTGAGGGGGGAAGGAGATGGAGGAGGAGGAGGAGGAGGAGGAGGAGGAAGAGGAGGAGGAAGAGGAGGATGAGGAGGAGGAGGAGGAGGAGGGCCCCTCCCCCTCCTACTGATGGTGGTGGCGGTAGAAAGCAGGCCCACCGAAAAAGGGTGCGCTCGGCGCAGTGAGGCTTTGCGATGCCTTCTATCGTCTTCACGCTCTTCCAGTCTCGCTTCCGATCGTCTTCACGTCTTCACACCGCCAGCCTGGATTCGATCTTGACATGCCCCTTCCACAGCTGCATCGGATCAGTCATTCGTAAAAGGCAGCACAGCACTCCAGAGTGCGAGAAGGTGGCCGTCGCCGCCCGCTTGCCATGCCGTGCCCGTGTGCGGTGCCGTGCCGTGCTTGCTTTCAAGAAGGCGAACAAAACAAAGCTGTTGTGCCATGTGCCTGGCCGCCCCGCGCGCCCCCCGCGGCCCCGCCGCGTGAGTGCGCCCTCCTCTTCCTGTCTCTGCGGCCGTCTCTCTTCCTTTTCTCTTCTTCTTCCACGCGGGACAATTCGCAATGCCGTAGCCCGCACTGCAGGGACGCGCGGGCGGATTGCCTCTGCCGCGCCGCCATGGAGAGAGGATCCTGCTCCCCTGCCGTGCCGTGCCGTGCCTGCCTGGGAGGGTGCGAAAGGCTGCAACACGGCGTGCCGGGCCCGAGTGCCGCGCCGTGTCGAGCTTGGTTTGGGAGTGCGGAACAGTGGCCTCGACGTGCTGTGCCCGCGTGCTGTGCCTTGCCGTGCCGTCCTCAGTTTCGACAGTGCGCAGCAGTTCCCGTGCCGTGTCCGCACGAGTACCGTGCCGTGTCCCCGTGGGTGCCGTCCTTTGCCGTGCCGTGGGTGGTTCCGAGAATGCGAACAGGTTGCCGGGCCGTGGCGTTCTTGCGTGCTGTGCCGTGCCGTGCATGTTTCTGAGGATGCACTGCGTTGTAGTGCCATTCTGTGTTCGCATGCCGTGCCCTGTCGCGCCTGATTTCGAGAATGCGAGAGAGTTGCCGTGCCATGCCGTGTCGTGCCGTGTTTTCTAAAAATGCTGTGCCGTGCCGTGTTTGCTCTTCAGAGTTCCAACTAGTTGCCGTGCCGTGGCGCTCCGACCGTGTGTCTTCGTATGCAGTTTCGACGTTCGGGCTCACGGGTTCTATAGTGGTGTAAATTTATTACCTGCTTTCACCCTTTACATGCGGGGGTGGTGGATTGGGCAACCTTGCGCTTGTTTTCTGAGCCGTGTTCATTGCGTTGATCCACTCCTGCTTCTTGCAAATCGAGCGATTGCCCGAAACGCTTGGCCCAGCACGATCTCCAAAGGTGTGTTCGCGTTCCTTCGGGTGCTGCCCAGTGGCGGTCGGTTCTGCCAGCACCACAGAGGTGTGCTGTCCAAACGGGCTGCTCGCTTCCTACTTGCTCGCTCATGAAGTGTGGACGCAGCGAGGGGGGGAACTGACTGGTTGACAGACGGTGGGAAGAAAGAACGAGAGAGAGAGAGAGATACTTGGCCCCAGAGCGAGAGCGAGAGAGCCAGAGCTGTTCCGACGCGGCTTGACCGGCGAAGTGGCCCACGGGCGCCCCTGCGGGCCTGAAAGCGTGGCCGAGTGTGCTTGTGCGTCGTGGGACCATCGGAGTGCCCCGCCTGGTTCTTGCTGGCCTCCTGGCAGGACCCCTGCTGGAGCCCGAGGCCCTTCACCTCGCGTGCATCAGGAGGGGAAAAACACACGGACACAAGTGATCGTCGACTCCCGGGAAAATGCGGGAAGATGTGGGAAGGGGGGGGGGGGAAGACGAAAACCTAGAAAATACAGGAACATATAGGGGAATCCTGGGATTTGTGTGTAGTTACTGTAGTTCTTGAATCGCGTCGCTCATTCCGCTGGCCCTGGAGCGCTATTTGGAGCCTCTTGGGGCCGTCTTGGGGGCTTCTTGGGGGCGTCTTGGGGCTCCTTGGCGGCGTATTGGGCTCCCCTGGGGCCTCTTGAACGGCTCTTGGGGGCCCCTTGGGGCGGGAGGGGGGGTAGTCGTTGGCAGCATTTGTGTGTATTTATTTGTGTGCCCCTGGGCCCCTTTAGTGCAGTGCTCCATGCTCCGCGCGCGGCCCCTTTTCCCACTCTCCCCGCATGCCCGGTGCGCCACTTGGCCCTGCCGGCGCTCTGGCCGTGGCTGCCCGGCACGCTCCGCGGCCCACGTCTCGGGCCGGACGAAAGGGGGGGATTGGGGATCGGGAGCCTTGAGTCAAGTCAAGTCAAGTCACCCCGCTCGCACGAGGGCGGGCCCATATAGGGCGCGAGGGAAAAAATCAAATGCCAGTCACTATTCAGGCCTGGTGCGCAAAGGAAGCATCGCGCCTGCTCGGGAGCCTTGAGACGGGGGTCAATACAGACGGGGGTCAGCCAGGGGTCAGAAGACCCCCGAGGGGAAGGGGGGGGTACGAAATTTGCGGCATGCAGCCGGTTTCGGCCCCACCGAGGGGCCCAGTCCTCAATGCACAGTCGCCTCCGGCGCCGGGAGGCGCCGGGAACATTAGCTGCGTGAGCTGATTCTCACCCCCCCCCCTTTGCTATCCCCCCCTTTCGCACGACCCGAACGTCGCCGCGGACAGCACGCTCGTGAGACGGAGCACGTGCAGTCAACCCGCATAGTATGGATGGGCAGCCTTCCCATGGGTACCCCTGCATCCTTGCCCCGTCGTCCCATCCTTCAGCGACTTTGGCCAACCTCGTTCGAAAAACGTAAGCGTGGCCCTCCAAGGCCCTTGCATCCTTACCGCGCATCCTTGTGATACGGGTTGGCTGCACGCCCCGTCCGGATATGCTGTCTGGGCCCTGAGTACGCCCCGCCGCGCTGACCTAGGTGCTCTCCTTCGGGGCTCCAGAGACGGGGGGCACTGCAAACGGGGGTCAGTCAGAGCGCCGGACTCTGCAGGATCCTGAAGAGCCAGGGTTGCATTGACCCAGGTTTGGGCGCATGATCCTGCAGGAGTTTGGAGGATCGCGCAGGGTCCTGCAAAGCCTGACTGACCTGGGTCTGGAGTGACCCGGGTCAGTAAATCCCCGACTCTTCGCAGGACCTTCGCCGCGGCACTTACGCCAGAGCGCCCTGAGGTGTGCAGCGTTCCTTCCCCGGCGGTATTAAGAAGAGGGGTGCTGAGGGAAACAGTTCCTCTACCTCGGGGCCTCCCCCAGGATTTGGACTCCATCCTGATCGCTCTTCTGTTGGTCCTGGGGCCCGTGGAGGCTCCACGGGGCACCAACAAAAAGCGGCGAAGGCACGCAGGATCCCTTCCCTGTTGGATCCGCTTCCCTGTTGCGGAGTGTGCCCCCCCCCCCCCCCCTGGCGCGCCCCCGCTCCCCAGTGTTTCTTCTTGTTGATGGGCCTGTTGTCCACCACCACCACCACCATAATTTGGAGGAGGAGGGTGTTCTCCTCCTCCTCCTCCTCCTCCTCCTCCTCCTCCTCCTCCTCGTCGTCCTCCTCCTCCCCCCCATCCAACTTATGGTGGTGGTGGTGGAAAGCGGGCCCACCGCTCGTGTGCACGTCTGGGCCCAGGAGGGGCCGCCCGCGCCTCGGCCTCGGCTGGCCCCCTCTCCAGAGGAGGTGCACAGCGAGCCCGCACAGCGAGAGTCAGGAGGGAAAGAAACACACAGACACGATTAATCGTCGATTCCCAAGAAAATACGGGAAAATATGGGAAGTGGGAGGGAAGACAGAAATCCAGAAAATATGGGGAATTGTTTTATTTGTGTGTATTTATTTGTGTGTTTGTGAGCCCCTTTAAAGAGGATGGGCACTCCAGATTTCGTAGTAAAAGGGAGGGGGCCTGGACCCTCCAAGACAAGCCATTTCAGACCTCCCCCGTGGGAGAACCCTCCAGAGCATCGTCCCTGGACCCCCCCCCAGGCCCTCCAAGATAGCCTGGAGGAGACCCCCCCCGAAATGAGACCCCCCTCCCTTTATTACGAAATCTGGAGCAACCTTCCCAAGTGCAGGTGCTTGTGTGCGGGTGCTTGACGGTGTCAGCGCGCGCGTCTCACTCAGAGCGCATGTGTCCACAGCGGTCTCGAAGCCCACTGGCAGTGGGAACAGAACCTTCCCAAGGGTGATGGGCCTGTTGTTCACCACCACCACCACCACCATAAGTTCATGGGGGAAGGAGGCGGAGGACGAGGAGGAGGAGGAAGAAGAGGAAGAGGACGACCCCCTCCCTCTCCTGCGTATGGTGGTGGCGATGGAAAACGAGCCCACCAAAGGGTACCGTCGCATTCTTGCCTTCTCGGCCCATCCTTGGGCCACTTTCGTTGGCCGCGCCCCGCTCGAGAAGCTTCGAAGTGGGCGTCCACGGCCCTTGCATCCTTATCGCGCATCCTTATGATACGGGCCGAGTGTACTGTGCGAGCGCCGCCATGACCAAGCAGCTTGGGCATTGGAGCAACAGCAGGTGCCTCAGCATCTCGCCCCATAGCACTTCGCACTCTTCTGCGATCACCTGCGAATCCTACCCCTGGAGATCCTGTCCACGTCGAGGTATCTGACACCCCTAGGTTCACTTTGCTGGAAGCATCCAGCAAGCTCTGGGCCCCAGCCGCTTCTGTTCAGACATCTGACATGCAGGGGTAGGGTTTTCCATGCGATTGCCTCACTCTGCCCACCCACCTCCTCTTCGTTAGGGCGCCCCGGAGGGAGGAGGACCGACACTGTCAGCCCGACACACAAATCAAGGCCTTCTCGGCGAGCATGCACCCCAATGGAGCGGGCTGCGGGAGGCCCGCGGCTGCTTCGGCCCCGTCTGGCGAGGAGGTTCGGGATACCTCTCTCTCTGAGCTGACAAACACCGGCAACCCCCAGCCGCGATGACCTCGTACCGCTTCTTTCGGGGGCTCCCAAACGGGGTGGTG